GTGATAAATCTGGACCCTCCTCTGTGGACTTCAAGGACCTGGAACTCTGGAAGTATGAAGGTAAAACTTTGGTCACTGTACACGAAGAATGCGCTGATTCTGAGGCGGTCTGGGGGAGAACTGATTGATTTTTCATTAAATGATCCTCTATTGTTTGGAAACGTGGAGGATCATTTATTACGGCGCTGACTCTCCCGGCCTCCCTCCGCTGCTCTTGCACTGTTTCAGGCCTTTTGTGCGGCGGCTTTATGAAGCTGTTTCTGAATGACAGCTCCCATAATTATTATCTTTGTCACAATGTACAGTTTGTGGTCACCGAGGTTTTGGCTCCAGCTTTGTGTTTGTCTCTCCATTTATTCCCCACAATGGCCCGGCGCCTATTGAATCGCGGCTGTTTTGACGGCTCGCGGAGAGAATCGGCCTCCACACGGAGTCACCAGCCTCCACCGGGGAGGTCGGAGGTCGGACTCAGGCGGACAACGGCTCTGCATGAAGAAAAACCTCAGCCACTGGGACCGTTCTTATGTAATATTGATGCAGTTCGGGTGCACAGGAATCAGCAGCAAGAACAGAGTCGTCTGGGTGGAAAACTTCAAAAAAAAACACAACACTATAATGAGACAAAGCAGCACAGGAAGCTCCCGGTTGATTAGTGTCATTAATTAATCCTGGATTCCTCAACACAAGACGTCACAACAAAACTTTAAATCATCTTTGTGTGTGTGCGGTGTTTTTCCATCCGATGAGCAACTCCAGATTATCCAACTTCCTGCTGAAACGTCTCACTTTGCCGTTTCGTAACCAGCTTAATTTATGTCAGAGCGCCGCTCTAACCAGGCTAAACGGTTGCATCGCCGAGGCTCCGGCAGCTTGGCCTCTGATTATTTGGCCTCGTTGGAACCCAGACAGATTCCTTATGGGCTCTGAACAGCGTGAGAAGGGTCGACTCTCAGGCCTCCTCAAAAATCTGAGTCACGCCGCTACTTGGCATTCAACTTAGCGTGACTGACCCGTATAGCCGCCTTTGTAATTGTGATGCTGTTTCCCCTCAGAGCTGAAATTCTTCTCCAGGTGGTGTTTTTTTCTTTTTTTCTTTTTTATCCAACACAACATGCAGATGTAGACTTGAAACGCAGACACACATCCACCCACACACACACACACAGAACACAACCGATTCGCTGGGAAACGAGAAACCGCTTCAGTCCGCGGGCTCTCAGCGTTTATGTTTAAAACAAGAGATGCTGCAGCAGAAACGAGAGCAGCGGCGAGGGCCCGGACCCCCAGCGACACGCCCGAGCCCTCCGACTCCTCAACGGCCAGCTAACGCCACGAGCAGGTAGAAGGGCAACTTACGGATGAGAGGCACACTGGCATTAGCCGTCCCTAGCTTGTTGGAGGCGACGCATGTGTAGTTTCCGTAGCGATCCTCCGTCATGTTGGTCACTGTGAGGACTGATCTGGAGCTGAGGCTCTTGATGTCGATGCCCTGACCCTTGATAATCCTGGAAACAAAACACAGAGACAACGGATGAAGCTTTCAGTTCTCACAGAGTTATCTTCATGAGCAACTCAACTGCAGTCACGTGTTTCTGTAACGAATCACAAATACATTTCTAATCAACGTATGTTTCCCTTTAATTAAATTAGTTCACTGTTGCTCCTGTTCAAGCAACCATCGTTTATTATCGGCCACGCAGACTATTCGCTTCTTCAGTTTGGGTGGTTTGTGTGAATCATCCAAATCCTAAGAGTTGTGTCTTTGTGTGGTCATTTAATGTCTATTTGTGTTTTTTTCTTGTCTATTTGGTGTCATTTTGTGTCTATTTGGTGTCACTTTGTGTATATTTGTGGTTGTTTTGTTTATATTTGTGTTTTTTGTGTGTAATTGTGGGTGTTTTATATCTCTTTGTGGTCATTTTATGTCTATTTGTGGTGTTTTTTTGTCTGTTAGTGTTCGTTGTATGTCTATTTGCCGTCACTTTGTGTCTATTTGTGGTTGTTCAATGTCTGTTTGTGGCTGTTCTGTGTCTATTTGTGGTGGTTTTGTGTCTATTTGGCATCATTTTGTGTGTATTTGGCATCACTTTATTTATATTTGTGGTTGTTTTGTTTGTATTTGTGGTCATTTTATGTCTATTTGAGGTGTTTTTTTGTCTGTTAGTGTTCGTTGTATGTCTATTTGCCGTCACTTTGTGTCTATTTGTGGTTGTTCAATGTCTGTTTGTGGCTGTTCTGTGTCTATTTGTGGTGGTTTTGTGTCTATTTGGCATCATTTTGTGTGTATTTGGCATCACTTTATTTATATTTGTGGTTGTTTTTTGTGTATTTGGCGTCACTTTCATTCTATTTGTGGTCCCTTTGTGTCTCCTTGTGGTGGTTCTGTGTCTCCTCTGACCAGGACCACCACAGTGAATGCATCGTCGTTGGTCAGAACAAGTTCTAGACAATGGAAGGACCATTTTACCTGCAGAACCTACCAGGACCATCTCTAGACAGGATTCACTGTGTGGAGACATCATTTGTTGTTTTTAACAGAATCTGCTGCACTGATGAAGTTCTGAGGCTCAGAAATGATGGAAAAAGTCCATTAAAGTGATAAATCTGGACCCTCCTCTGTGGACTTCAAGGACCTGGAACTCTGGAGTATTCACAGTGTGAAGGTAGAACTCTGATCAGTAGATAAAGGTGCTGCAGATAGAATAAACGGGGAGACGTGAAGTCAAGACCCAGCCAAGAGTCAAAGTGTCTTCAAAGTTGTGCTGATAAAAGTCAGATAGAACCTGTCAGCACCTGTTGTGTTTCTGTCACATCACTGCTAAACGTCCTCCTTCATCCTTTACTTGAGTCTCGATCACTGAGGTAAAGACGCTTTTGTCTGACGGCCGACTTTTTCACGGTTTTGACGTTTTAAACGTGTCGGAGCTCCAGCAGCTTCTCCATTTGTGAAATAAATTCATTAAACTCGCCACTAGCGAGAACATCTTAGGAGGATTTAACGTGAACTAATGACTAACAAATTCCATCAGTAATTAATCAGTCAACCTGTGAAGCTTTCTGCTCGTCCACCAACTGATGCACATTTAACATAACACTACTTTTATATCAGCCGTGCTTTCTTTTCCAGACTGATCCTGATGAACAGGACGCTCGTCTAGAGCAGCAGGTGGTTGGAGCTCAGATGCATGTTCGCACTCTGACTTTAAAAAAAAAAGAAGATGGAAGTAGAAAGAAAAAGGGACGAACTAGATGCACAAAAGGAATTAGTGCAAGCAGCAGCGAGTCCTATGGGAAGAGATCACGATATTTAAATATACAACTATAACTGAAGTTTGTTTTTAGGGGGAACGTTACTGAACCACTGGTACGTATAGATATTAACTCTCCACATAATCAGTTTCCATCTCTGACGATAAAAATAAACATAATTTACTCCTCAACAGTTGTCTCTCTATTAATGATCTAGTAATATAGTAGATCTGAGAAACAGAAGTGACTATTTTTAAGTGCATACAACCACAGGCTTTTGCGTTGTGATGATATTTTGCCGGTATATTATTTATTCTGACTTCAGGTAACTCTCTGTTGTCGCGTCCCTGGATCACCTGGGGAGACGTTAGTCACCCTGATAAGGCAGAAAATGAAAGAGAAGCTGCAGACGTGCGGTGAAAAGGTCTTAATTTACCTCTAACCAATTAATTCTGGTGCTGACGGCGTGAAAGTGTCCCCAAAGTGTGATGTTTTGCTAAACTGAACAAGAAGTGAGTGAAAAACAAAAGTAAACAAAGACAGAAAACAAAATTTAAATACAGGCCGTAAAAAGGAAAACTCGTTCTGTTTAGTCGAATGACAGATAATAATTTCTACAATCACAGAAAGTTAATGTTAATTTTAAAAAAAAAGAAAAAAAAAAAAGTTCAACATCAAAAATCTTTATTTTTCTAAATGGTTATTTGTTCATTTGCATTATTTGACTGTAAATTTACACAATTTTCCTGTATTTAATTTAGCAAAAACATTATTATGTTACAAATATTTGCTGTTATTTGGAAGAAATATTATATATTCATACTTGAAAAATGGTGAATTTTTAAAAAAAAAAGTTATTTTACAGATTTTCCCAGTTGAGTAAAATAACCGACAATATCCAGTAAAATAACGAAGAAATAATAATTAGATAATAATTAGAAAAAGCAATGAATTACATGTTGACTTCAAAAAACAAAACAAAAAAAAATCTACATAAAAATTAGTATTTTTACAAACTACTTCATGTTTTTAAACCGTTTGACAACAAAATTACAGTTTTACTGTATTTAAATCAGCTAAAATATAATTAGTTTACAGATGTCTGTTGCTATTTTTACATTTTTTTGTTTGTTTTATTTTGCACTATTTTTACAGTTTAAAAAAAAAAGTTTTTACTGTTATTAAACATTTTTTTCTGGCTCTTTTTGCTTTTTCATGTATTTTATTAAAATAAATTGTATTTTTACAGCAGCACACAAGCTCCGCCCACCTACAGCAAACATTAGCTGATTGGACGAGCGTTACGCTTCTAGGTGGTCTGTTCCTGGGTTTTAAACTGGACCAACTTCCAAAAGTTCACCGAAACATTAAAAGCAAGAAGTTAAATAAACGTTTTTCGGAGGTTTTTAGAGGCGTCAGGTGGCGGCTGGATGCTCCTCATTTGCATAAAGTACAATCGAACTCAACTTTATGCAAATGAGGAGCGGAAACGTTCTTTAAACACTAACGGAACGTGTCACATGGCGGCTAACGTAGACGACACACAGGCAGCGTTGTTGTGACGGATCCAGTGGAGCCATCAGAGTCCTGATCCGTCGTCCAGATGCTGCTTCACGCCTCCGTCCTTCACTTCCTGACCTTCCTCCGTCCAACGAGACGCCTTCACTGCAAAATAACGTTGATTTCAAAGCAAACTTCGCCCAAAACGTACTTGAGATTTCAGTTTATTAGCACCGGAGCACGATTCTGCCGGTTCGCTCCCACACAAAGCGTCAGGTGGCGTGACTCACTGATGATACAAATGTTTGTCATCCTCAGCAGATCTTCAGATTGTTCGGTGCTTCAGCAGCCTCTCCAACAGATCTATTTATCCCTCGGTCTGCTGCGTCTGCCTTGAAGAGACGCTCTGAAGGACCGAGCCGAGCGAGACGTGACCCGGAGGTGAAGCAGCTGGGCGCCACTTGACATGTTGCTCGTCGTTTCGCTGCAGGTGCGGCGGGATCACAATAAAGCCGATTCCAGTTGTGGCTGGCATCTGTGCCGACAAATTGACAAATGTTTAACTGTTTACTTTGGTGGCTGCGATGATCTTTAACAGCCTGTACAGATTAAAATTCGCTCCGTTAAGGCATATGCTCTGCATCCCGATGGCGGGATTATCCCAGGGAGCACGGCTCGGTTTGTTTTTCATCTCTACAGTTTCATATTTGGCATCGTAAAGCCTAAAGACTCCCAGAGAGGAGGCCTGTTTATATCTCGGCCTCGCTGCCCCCCCTTCGTGATCTCTGCTTTGGCAGGCGCTCTATGTGCGACCTTATGTCCAGCAAATATCCACAAATCTGTTGTTCCCCCTCCCGCGGTGGTGGCGGCAGCGGCGTCCTCAAATGTTAGCCGAGCTCGGCGTGCCGCTTCACGGCATCAAACCGGGCGACGCTCGCCTCCGTCGGGGTGACAGAAGCCTCCCCACCCCTGCACATCCACACTCATAAACACTCACCCACTCCCATTCAAGAATGAAAGCAGCCCAACATCAAGAGAAAGATTTACTTGTCAGAACTGTCAGCGAGCTTCCGATGGAGGCGAGCTGGAAGCTGATGTTGTGGCTGCATCAACACGGAGCCAAATAAAAAAAAAGGAAAAAAAAACACGACTTTTTATTCCACAAGAAGCAGCCGGAGTGAACGCTATACGGAGGCTGTCCCGTTCATAATGAGCGGTAAATGGAGAAATCACCGTTTAGCCATGTGTGAAGTCACAGAAAGAACAAGTCCTTGAATTAAGCGAAGACTAGAATCATGCCAACTTGCCTCCTTAGCAATTTGAATAAATTGATTCCACCCCATAATTACAATTAGCACAGTGTGAGCTGATGATTGAAATTGTGCTCACCAGGAGTGGGTAAATGATGGGTAATGGGGGTAATTTGGTTTTTAAATTCAAGAACTGACACTTGAATCTAGACTGATTGATGTATGTGTCGCGAATGATTTAAGCCAGTTGCCAGCAAACATTTTATTAGGATGCGAGGTGAGGACGACCGCCGGCGGAACGTTTCCGAGGTTTTTCAGCCCAGAGGATGGAAACAAACGGACGGAAAAGAGCAGCGAGCGAGTACGATTTCTATCAAGTAGAAGGACGAACTAACGTCTAAACTACTAGTGTCAAACTGATACTGAGGCTCTCCCGTTTGCTCTAAATGTAAAGCATGTTTGACCCGCTACAGCAGCAACAGAACAGGTGAGATCTGCTCCACTAACAGGCGACCCAGTAAGCCACAGCAGTGACCCAGTACAACAGGGTCAGCCGGTGCTATTTCAGACAACACTGTTCCTCCACCAGCAGAGTTTGTTCTCACTTGTTTGTTATTTTTCGGACTAAAAACTTTCCGGTTCTGTAAAATGTTTTTGCCTGAACTTTGAGAATTTTGTGTTTTCAGATCTTTATATTTTCACCCTCAAAAAAAAAAAAAAAAAAAAAAGCAATATCTCCATAAATAAAACTCCCACAGCCATGAAATGTGGCGAGGACACACAAAATATAGTTTCCAGCAGATCGGAGTGATTAAATGGCTCCAGCAGAGGCCAAAGTGTTGATTATTATAGGTCCTTGAAAATGAAAAAAAAAAAAAAAAAAGGCAAATCATCAAACCACAGTGTCTCCTATAAGCGTATATATCTATGGATGGATCCATGTTTCTGCTGAAATACAGGCTTTGGTCGACAGTTTACCAAAGATGATTCCAGTTTAGTCCTAAATGACTTGAAACGTGTCCAAAAATACACTGAATGTGTCCAAAATAACATAAAGATGTTCTAAAATGATTCACAGGTGTCCAAAATGACAACAACAAACAATTATTGGTCCTTTAAAATGAAAAAAGGTGCAAAATTTTACAACCCAGACTGGTGTTGATCCAGGAAGTTCCTGTCAGTGTCTATCTATGGATGGATCCATGTTTCTACTAAAATCCAGTCTTTGTTCACATTTCACCAACTGTTGAGGCTCTAACATCAGTAGAACCTGATGTGGTGAAGTTGGACCAGACGAGGTTCCAGTTTTTAGACATTTTGATTTGAAACCAGTATAAAATTGGCCAAAAACATCCTGTTATTGTCTGAAATGACTTGAAACGTGTCTTGAATGCTCAAAATTCTACAAAATCACTTAAAATCAGTCCAGAAATGAATCAAAAATGACTTGAAATTGTTTAAAACTGCTCAAAATGTACCCAGATTTACTCAGGATGTGTTTAAAGTGACTCAGAAGGTTCAAGTGGTTCCTCACAAAGTTCCTGTCAGTGTCTATCTATGGATGGATCCATGTTTCTACTAAAATCCAGTCTTTGGTCACATTCACCAACTGTTGAGGCTCTAACATCAGTAGAACCTGATGTGGTGAAGTTGGACCAGACAAGGTTCCAGTTTTTACATGTTCAGACTAAATGTTGACGTGGATCATTGGTAGGAACCAACACCTGGAGGTCACAGGTTCTGGATGTTGGTTCTGGATGAGCAGAGCTACAAGATGCTTCATGTTGGAGTTTAACTACACATGAGGCTGATGTTAAATTATCAAATGTTTTTTTATTTTCAAGGGTCAGTGATTAAAAATGTGTCCTCACAGCAGTAGAAATGCTGCTTCTGTGTTTTTACATAGATTTGTTCAATAAACGCTATCTTGTTTAATTTACGTTTTCATGACAGAAAGTTGAATTAATGTGTTTTTATCAGTGTATACCATCTATTACAGCTTCTATCTATCTGTATATAATATATATGTGTATAATTTATCATCATATTGACCTATAATTATATATAAATGTGCAGATTTTATTGTTTTTACACGTGTAAATATCCTTTTAACATCACAGGTTCCACATATGTGCAGGATCTGATGTGAAACTAAGGCTTGATAATGTGGTTTAATTAAATTACGGAGTTTTCTATTTCTATTTATTTACTTTGCAGTGGTGTATAAATGCTCAGATGTAAAGCTCCTCTGGTGTTTGTTTATCTTCAGCTGTGATCAAACCACCTTTATGATCTGTGAACCAGAGACTCTTGAAGCTTCGGGAGCTTTTACATTAAAGTCAGTCGGACTCGTCTACAGCCGACGACACTTTAACACGTCCACCAGGGAGACGTCCGTCCCCCAGGACTCACCTTTTCTCGCCCTTGTACCACTCGAACGTTGGCGAGGGGACGGCGGCGGCTTCACACCGGAGCAGGGCGGTGCGTCCCAGGCCGACTCCGTGGCTCTTCATTTCATGGATAGACGGAGCAACTGGAGGAGACAAAGACATTCTTAGACATGGGCTCAGGTGACGTTCAGGCGTAAACACCTCAACACCTCAACACCGCCACTCAGAGGCCTCGGTTCCCGGCGTCAGGAAAATGAAGTGAATGGCGCCGCGCGGTGATAAATGGCTTAATGGAAGTTCAAAGACTCAACGGCAGAGGCAGGTTGTGCGAATGTGAAATGAGGCTCCTTTCATGTGCTCCGGTGTCGCCAAGGCAGCTCCGCACACGGACGGTTTCTAAAGCAACACGTTCGTTCTGCTTCCAGCGACGAGGCCTTGAAGGAAATTAATGAAACGGCGTCGTACGGACGGAGGACAAAGACGCTCGACGGACGACATCACAATTCAAGCATTTCTTTAAAAGCCATTCTTGTTGTGTTTGTAGTACGACTGCTGCTGACGGAGCTGACGGCGTGTGTTTGGTATCTAAAGGACGAAGCCGATGAAACAGGAGCAGAACCGCCCGACGATGGGCAAACTGGGCCCACAAACAATAAAAGTGCTCCGAACACTCGAGCAGATGCAATCATCAGAGGTCCACGCTGTTTCTGATGAGCAGCAAACCCACCAGAAGTCCGACTGCTCAGAGCTTTCAGCAGCGTTCAACCAAATGCCTGCAAAGCTTCACCTCCAGCTGCATCTGGAGAAACCTCAGCATGAACCAACGACCGACAAACAGCCAACATGAATCCAACGCTGAGCGGAAAACTAGCAACAAGCTGCGTCATGTCAAACATGAGAAGGGCTTCATTATTTA